GCTGACTTTTCTTGTTTATAGTGTCAAGCTTGATTGGAGTATCCAGGGATACGTATTGTTACATATAAGATGAAATACTGCTAAAAATAATAACAACTGCTACATTTGGTTCTTTCTTTTCTGACAGACACATAATCGTTTGACACTATATGACCTTATTGTGTTGATGGGCTGTAAAGGATACCAAATCACGCACAATAGTATTTGCTATTTGGTGATCTATTTATCAAATTACGTTAGGTGGTTTTCTCTATCGGGGTGATATAGAGAGAAATCATAGTCATAAAAGACTAGAACAACAGTATGGACCGTTCTTTAAGCTCAAAGCAGATTTCCTGCTTGGGCGTGGAATTTCAAACGTCAATAAGATTTCTGGTTTTTCATATTGTTCAATCTTATACGAAAGTGTGATAAAAATATCCTCATGCAAAAAACAAAACCATAAAACACCAGATAGGTCATGCCGGCTTGAATCGGTAATTGCGTTTTGAATTTGTTAAGAGAAATGAATGAGACGACACATTTAAAAAAAAAACTGTGCCCATGTTGTAATTTCTTTTTTTACTAGAACTACCTTTATTGAAGTATTTTTCTTGTGTGAACCGATGGAGGAGGGGGTCAAATATGACCACTAGCTAGTGAGTGGTCGGGTTGCGCACCGGATAGCGCACTTGACTTTCACCAAGGCGGCCGGGGTTCGATTCCCTGATCGGACGTGGAAAGGTATTTGGTCACCTGCCCGCCAACGTGGTTTTTCTCCAGGTACTCCGGGCCAACATGGGTGATTAATATAAGTTTTAAAACTAAATTCATAATTGGTGTAAAATAAATCAATATATAGTGCTCTCGATGTAACAATGGCCATATCTCTTATATTAATTATCTACACATTCGTTTTGATCAAAATGACCTCAGCTTAAAACCATTGATAAACACTGATCAAAATGACCTCGGCTTAAAACCATTGATAAACAGTAATCAAAATTGACCTCAGCTTAAAACCATTGATAACCAGTAATCAAAATGACCTCGGCTTAAAACCATTGATAAACAGTGATCAAAATGACCTCGGCTTAAAACCATTAATAAACAGTAATCAAAATGACCTCGGCTTAAAACCATTGATAAACAGTAATCAAAATGACCTCGGCTTAAAACCATTGATAAACAATAATCAAAATGACCTCAGCTTAAAACCATTGATAGCCAGTAATCAAAATGACCTCGGCTTAAAACCATTGATAAACAGTGATCAAAATGACCTCAGCTTAAAACCATTGATAAACAATAATCAGAATGACCTCGGCTTAAAACCATTGATAAACAGTAATCAAATTGACCTCAGCTTAAAACCCTTGATAAACAATAATCAAAATGACCTCAGCTTAAAACCATTGATAAACAGTGATCAAAATGACCAATATGTTTATGCAATGAAGCTTGGCAATATAGTCAATATTTCGTAAAATATGTTATTTAAAACCAATAAACCATATCGGCCGTATTTATTTTTTAATTAATTTGTTTACGGTATACATCTTATTTATCTATAAATATATTTATATTGAAAATAATTTGATAATTTGCCGACATGTCGTTAGGTTCATAAAGCTATAAGCATAACTGATGCACTGGACTGTTGTAATTTGTGTGTCCTACATAAGTAGGCTACAGAAGGTCGTGCGATGCTATTCAACTAGCAAGGCCGTCTATTTAATATTAGTTTTACTCAGATATAGAGTACGGAATGCCTTAAGCAAGCTAATCCTAGTGGGCAAGGTATCGGCCCTTGGGAAATATAATCAATGAACCTGATGTAGCAAGTGCCCAGCGAAAATCCGATACTAAGTTGATGAGATAAAATGTTAAAATCGAAATGACCTTAAGCTAGAAAGAGAATGAAAGTCTATCAGCGAGATAAAAATGTGTAATCGTGCTTTTTTCGTGATGGTTGTCATTTGTCCTGAAGATGTGATTGTTCTACAGCATGAATACGTATCACACCAAGAAAGTATATGGAAATATAAAGGTAGGATCTTGTCATTTGTCTGTCCACAATTTGAAAAGTTTTAAACAATTAAACCTATCAAAAATGAACACGCTAAATGTTGTCGGATAGTGGTATCGCTACATCTTTGCTGACAGCTTTACCAGAAATGGACTGGCAACCACGACGTCAGAACACGACTGTGGAACAGACAATACCAGTGCCGTGAATTGTGATACGTCCGTTTACTTAGGAATTGACCAGGAGTTCATAAAGGTAAGTGTCAATCATAGCTTCAGTATAAATATCAAGTTTAAAACTAATATAGAGGCATGAAAACTCCCTGAAAAAACATCAAGGAAAGAATTTGTATGTCCAATGTTCATGAGTTATATGTTTTCAAACAACAATTTGTTGGTAAGCGTAAACATTTCTGATTTTAACATTGTCAATATTTATTCATGCATTTTCAATCAACGTTTTAGGTGTCCTATGATTCCATAAAACTCAGTAAGATATGATGTTTACAAAAACAGCTACATGTATCGTAACCCGTGATTGTAGAAACTGATTTGAAGAAGTTTAAATGTACATAAACGGTCTTTTTCATTAACCGCTGCCACTAATTCTCTGATCCCGATACGGTTAGTAACAAAAGACTGGTTGTATGGCTGATAACTTTTGTTTGTTTAAAGCAACATTGTTCTGGAATGAAAATTAAAATACAAATATTCATGTTTAATTCATAAGTCTTAAACGTTATTGCTACTGAGATTAAGTATATTATTTGTAAAAAAAGAAAACACTAAATCTAATATCATCATTTCTTCAATATTGTTATGCTTTAATGATACATGTAGTTCAATAATCTTAATTTTATGATGTCAGTTGTGTTTAGTCTTCTTTTACGCGCAATTTTCCATAACAAATGTTACACAATAACGAAGTTAGATAATGTACCTTAAAGTTAGTATACACTTTTTAATTTACAACAATTATGAAACAAATAAAACTTAAAGTTGTCCAGTATAACATTTTAAGAATTATTGTTTTTGCTAATGACTGTTTACTCAGCCTTGACTTAATACATTTTATATATGCTACAATATAGTTATCAATTGTAGCGAAAACCAAAGAAGGTATGCTAATGTAATTTCTTTTAGGTTAGAGACAAGACTGGCTAGACTTTATGTTATCCTGCTGTTCCTTTGTTCTATTCCTCCTCAATTCATTTGGTAACCTTGAGTTCTGTTTATGTGTTGATGATATAATATTGTTTAATTTTACCACATACTTATACTCCATTTTTAAACATAAAACAATCGACATGAAAACCTTCGATGATTTGATGGCACCTACGGACTGTCCAATTAAGTGTTTTATTATCCTGCATTCACGTTAAATAAGATTTGCAAATATATTTTTCGACAGGTATTGACAAAATATCCGCTTAAGATTGCATTAAATTGTTGTTTACGTATTGTTTTAAATTTTAAAAAGTCTAAACTAATCAAACTATCCGTTTGTTTTAGCAGTTATATATGTGAAAAAGATCGATTTATCAATACACTGATCCACCTGTTTTTTATGTTTTACACGAACGTTGAACACTTGTCATGTCATAACTAAAACATACTGATGTATAATTCCCAAGTCGCCGTATAGATGTATCGACATCTATGCCTCTCCACCCATAACAAGAATAACTCAAACAAGAAATGTGAGTGAAATGGCCACCCAAAGGGTGACATTATATTTATTATACTGATTAAGCCACCATGTGGCTTCTATCAAAAACTTAAGACTATACAAAGTGGTTGCAAATATATCAAACATGGTAGCAACTACAATCAAAATATAACTAAGAACCTTAGCTAGCCTAAGTGGGGTTGCCAAAAAACGCCACAAAGACATTCATGGAACACCCCACATGAATCAAAGAATGTTTGATATAATAACATGATAGTCATTTTTATTTTCAATTTAAACTGTTTGTTTAAAGAATATGCTTTAATGTTATCTATTTATTGAAACGTTTTTCATTTTTTTGTAGATATATCATATTGATATAAAACAAAAGTATGTCCTTTGACTTCAGCTTTTTAACCATTTAGGAATTCTGAATACGGGTTCTTACGAAAAGTAACAAAAGAATGCTTAGTATAAAATACATATATAATGTGGGACACGATATTTCTAATACATGATCTTAATTTTCAGTCTGTGAAGCGTGTTACCTGCTAGTTAAGATATTTTCATTGTCTTATCTCTTTTAACCTGCGAACAAAAATGCTATAATGAATAAGAGAGATAGTTTTAATCTACAGTTTATGTTTTAATATCCCATTCCATTTAAAACGTTAATCAAATACCCACATAAACTGATGTCGTATTATTTTTCAATTATCCTGTGTCTTTTAACTGACATAAATGGAAGCTGATCTATCAACATATAGTTATTATATATAAACAAAAAAATATGCTGTGGGAATGGGGCATTATGGTATGAGCTGTCTGCTCTGAACTACTCCACGGGGAGACATCTTATAGATTGGCGTGTCCAATGGATGCCATAGCTGATTACGTGTAGGTAAATTAGAATACACCTGTTTACTCGACATGTGTACTTATAGGATACCTAACCACTACAGACATCGGCCGATGCCTTCAGATATACCGACGTTTAGTTTCCAGAGATTGTGTTTATATCAGTGTACAACTTATGCATTTGGTTGAGTGTTATCGTGTTTGATGAACATTCGATTGACATTTAATTGAAAATAAATATTTTGTGCCAAGCATAAATTTGTGTTTTGTGGTTAACTTTGCTGGTGGGAAGACATTGTGAAAGTGAACTTATTAATTTCGTATGTACAAACTGGATAGTATGCCCCTTATTATAACATAACATCAGATTTGATCAACATGCGCACTGTTACATCAAAGTGTATCTCTGCTGCAGAATCAGGAATAGGTGTTGACATTGAAACAGGTTGCCAGTCCAGTACTAGCAATGAGTACCGTTAGTACGGACAACGTGTCAAGCACATACACCACCACTAACATGGGTGTCGGAAGCATTGGACCGATCACCTGGGACGATGCTACATGGATCCTTACAAGCTCGTTTATTATTTTCACAATGCAATCAGGTAAGAAACGAACTCCATTAATTAATTCAAGCTTTCCCAAATCTGTTCAATATGCGAAATACGCAATGTATCCCAACTACAGTCTAAAATATTTTAATTGCCCTAGTTTCATCCCAGGACCCAAACCCATTGTAATGTCAATTTGGAACATTGGTTTTAACATCTTGTTGTTACAAGCTGACTCTTGAATGTTGTAAGTTACTTTGTTGTATATTTTGCATCAATTTGATATCACATATACACAAACTATGAACATCTTACCTTAGCTATTACTTGATGTTGTAAGTTTGCTGTTACCAATTGGTACGTATCTTACAAGTATGGAAAGGGAAAATACCAAAGAAATAACCAGGTTTTTTCCTGATATGTTACAAGTGTTATAACAGCGATCGTGACGTCACAAGTCATAAATAAATCCTGATATTTCGATGGGGCGGTTTAATCTCCCACTATCCCCACATATTACAGTACCAGACATTACAGAGTTTAGTCGGTAATTTCCCGTTTGTTTTACATAGTTTAGTAAATTACATAATAAAACTAGTTTCAAATTCATTCCATCACTATCTTTCACAACTCACGCTTAGTTGATATGAAAATAATTATATGGAATGTTGTGATCATTTTTCTTCTATCGCAAGATTTTAATAACACGTTTCCAAATGATTTCCTCAGCATTGTCATACTTATTTCCATTATTTGTTGTATTTCAATGTGAGCTTCCCAATAAAATGAATTTAGGGGAGAGTAATAATCATTAAATACGATAAACACGGGGACTGCCTTGGGTTTTGCTCCAGTTACCGAATGAGTGTTTCATGTCCCAATCCTTCACCCCAGACCTGAAGGCGTACTTTTCTTTTATTCCAATCACCAGTTTAGCTTACCATGTTTCGCAAAAAAAAAAAGTTTAAATAGGAAAATTAAACCAAATTATGAATTATATGTTAATTAACCTTTAATTTCAATTTTACCGCTTCGGTAGTTTCTGCTTCGGATTTTTTCCGAAATAGTCACTCACGTGAGTTTGATCACATTTTGACTTTAGAATAAGATTATTTTTCAAATGTCTGATTTTTACACGCTTTGATTACAATATGATTGTATTGAAGCTTTCATTGTTTCTTTGCTTCTGTCTCAACAGTAGTTTAGACACTTTGTTTTCCAACGTTTTGGCCCTTAGCTTCACCAGGATGAAACATCTGTATGGTGCAGTGTAATTCATTTTTGGTATATTATATCTACTGCAAAATGTGATAGGTGCAATGGCCTGTGTGCGTCTCACGTTCATCATTCCTCAGTTTAAGCAACCCAGGAGTTTGTAATTAAAGTGCAAAAAGGAAATAATGTACCAGCAACAATGTTCTTCTCACGAATACTAGATATATAATAACAGAATTAGTATTATAACCGGGATTACATTTAGTATCGATGAAAATGACCTTCAATGAGGAAACAAACCATTTATAATAAATACAAACAATATATTTGCTAGAAACTTTCTCCACAACTTTTGCTTCTTAAGAAAGTCCAAATAATTGATGCAGGGACATAGCTTTCATTTCATCATATTGTTAATCAGTTATATCTCTCGACAAAAATAAGCAAGAGTAGTTGCTCATGTAAATATTTTACCCGCAAATAACAGTCAGTCAGACTGCACAGGAGATATGTAGTAGTAACTAATTCAATTAAGGAATGATCTATGGATGGATTGGGTTTTACATCTGCACAACAGAGAATGTCAGACGACGGCGGTGTCCACAGATAACTGGGCCACTGACGAACAATTGTAAAATGTCATATCATTGAAGATTCAATGACTTGTCTAAAAACAGTCTAAAAAGATTCGCCATTCCGTCACGTTGTTCTAGCTATGGGATAAACAGAGCTGTACAGGGAGAATTAACCAAAAAGGAAGAAAGGGAAAATAAATGAAAGGATCCAAATGTGCATAAGCGGAGGCAAATAAACTTTGGTTTATTATGTGTCGTCATCAAGAAAACAAAAGGGTCAAAACATCCTAAGCGTGCATGACCCCTGCACCCAGAGGTCACCTATAAAAGGCATGACAATTCGTGCCAGCTCACTCATTCAAAGATAATCTTTTGTTGGCAAACTGACCGGACTAAAGGGTCAGAAAAACCGATAGGTTGTAGAGGGTAACTTCACCGTCCAGCCTTCGGGCTTTCATTACGGAGAATCCCTCTCATCCATCGCAAGCTTGGATGAGGGGGGGGGATTATCCTACATTTCAAGCCCTACGGCTTGCCCGGTTAATTTGCATGTTCAAAGTGTTTGACAACAAACATCAGTAAATGTGAAAACTAATAGAGAACCCAAGATAACAAAACTTAGTTCAATTATTTTAATCATGTAAAATTTACAAATAAATTCAAAATTCATATCTTCGCCACTTCTACTCGGCCACTGTTGCACCCCCAAAGTTCATACGGTTCCCGTTTGCTGCAACACCCTCAGCAAACGAAGTTTCTGCTGTAGGTTCCACATCCCGTAGGTAAAACCTCCGGAATGTCTGAGACGATCTCCATGATGCGGTTTCCAAAATCGCCTTCAGCGAAGTTCCAGCCGAAAAGGCAGCTGATGACGCTGCTCCCCTCACCGAATGTGGCTTGAATCCCTCATTCACTCCTGCCTCTGTCATGGCACTGCGAATCCACCTCGCCAACGTGGAAGTGGATACCGATGTCCCCTGTTTGAAAGAGACTAACAGTTTATTAGACTTGCGTATAGAAGCTGTTCTTTCAAGATATTCCCTTAGCAATTTTATAACACAAAGTTTCGGATTGGAATATTTCATCAATTTTACCTTATAAAAAGGATCCGAACGTTTAGATATTTTCATGATCATTAACTCAGGGATAGTAAAGACTATCGAGTCACCCAAATCCTGCATGTATTATACATCCAGGTTAACCAATGTCTGTGCCCTGTGTGCCGATACCAACGCTATCAAACAAGTCAATTTTTTGGTCAACATTCTAGATTCAATTGCGGGAATAAAGTTTCCTAATACTTCAACAAAATAGAAACATCCCATGTCGTGGAATACCTAGGTTTAGGGGGTTTTGCGTGAAAAGCCCCTTTCATGAACCTTGAAATGACCAAATTCCCAATCAGCCCAGTATTACCTAACAGAGCTGTGGTCTGTACCAAAATACATTTATGGGTGTTTATGAGTTAAACAAATGTGTCAAATACTCTATTACCTGCGAGACAGTGGGACAATTGGCACCGACCTGTCTCTAATCACACCAAGACACCCAGTTTTTCCAGGCCAAGTCATATTGCCTAGCTGTCGATCTCTTCCATGATGAGAAGACCAGCATGGCAGCTTGTTTCGATAGGCCTATCCTTTGCAAGGATCTCCCGATACGCAACAAGCGATCACTCTCAAACTCTTTGCTAGAGGATGTGGTTCGCCCTGCGGGGATAGAAGAAGTCCCCGCCAACTGGGCAACCGAGCTGGCGCAGCAACAACAACGTCTAATAGCGTAGGTAGCCATACCTGGTTTCGCCACAAAGGAACTACAATTATCGCTAGACTCACCTTGTCTTCCTTTATCTTTTGCAAGGCCCTGGCTAACAGGCTGAAAGGAGGGAAAATATAAGGTGTAAGCCCATTCCATGACAACATAAATGCATCGTAACACATAGCATGTGGATCTGGCATCCAAGATAAAAATTTGTCCAGCTTATAATTAAGTCTACTCGCAAACAAATCAATGTCTGGCATAAAAAAATGCCCACAAATTCTGTTGAATATCTCTGTATGTAATGACCACTCTCCTGATGATTATAATGCTCTAGACAGGAAATCTGCCACCACATTTTCTGACCCTTGAATATGACATGTTGACAGATGAATACTTCTATCCTCACACCAAATCCAAATAGCTTTAGCTAACTCATTCAACAGAGCTACATTACCACCAGGTTTATTAACATATGCTATAGTATACGTATTATCCGACCTTATCCTAAAACCCCTGGGTTCCTATCTCCCCCAGTTTGGCCCCCATCCTACGAGAGAGGCTCAGTTTCAATGACAACTTCCGGTTCACTAGGTCTAATACTCCTACCATTCATGCTGTCTATGTTATCGATCCACCAGCAAATCTCATTTCTAGACTGATCCGATAAAATTATAAAATCATCGTAATCCTTGCCCTTGTGCAAGTGCCCAGTCTTTTCTCGTTCTGTGATTCTATAGAACAAACCTGATAATCTAACCGCTCTCAAAGCAGAGGTAAATAGACCTACCAAACTTGCCAACTATCTTAACCTGACTTGACTTTTGTCTAATACCGTCTTGCAGTATTTACTTATCTTTTCTATCTTTTCCTTAGGAAGAGATACTGTGAAAGCAATCGAATTGATCAGATAACCAAGATGAACTATAACATTGTTCGCCACCATCATAGACTTCTCGTGATTAATTTGGAAACCTGCCTGTACGAAGTTGCTAGCCAACATCTCACAATTGCTTTCGCACACCTCTTTATCTCTATCCTTGACCAAAGAGTCATCAATGTAATAAAATGCTACTACCCCCAGGCTCCGTACTTTAGCAAATATAGGTTTCAAACCCTTAGTGAAGACCCGACGGGCGCTAGTAAGGCCAAAAGGTAAAGATATAAACTCATAGAGACCACCTCTCCATCTAAATTTGAGGTATTTCCTATCTTCCTCATCAACCGGTATGCTTAAATATGCATCCTTTAAGTCTATCGACGTGAAGAAATCGCCTCTTTCCACCGACTCGAGTACCACCTCTAGTGTTTCCTGTTTAAAATGGTGATACACAATACACTCATTTAATTTCCATAAATTTATTACTGGTCTGAATTTACCATTCTTTTTCTGTACTAAGAACAAGTTGGACACAAATTCCCCTTGTTCGCTCTGTGATTTTCTCACTGCCCCTTTTCTCAATAGCTCCTCTACTTCATAATCTATCAATTCCATCTCATTGTTATCAAAAGCTATGGGACTTGGATTCCATGTCTGTACTGGAATTTCCTCAAACTCTAGTTTCAGCCCTTGGACTGTTTCTAGTATCCATTTATCATCAGTGATCCTCTGCCAATACAACAATTTCGATTTCAACAGACCTGAAGGTAAAGATCCACCTACCTTGCTATCTAGTCCCTCTGTTTCCGTGGACCGCTTTGCTGGTGGTTTCCACTTGCTTGGTATTGGGGTTTCTTGTACCCGTACCCTCGGCCCCTCGGAGCCTGGTAGCCGTGCCGTAAAAAAGGACGTGATCGTCCGAGTCCACGGCCCCTCTGTCCGTTCTGGTGGTTACCACCTCAGGCACCTCTGCCCCTGTTCTGTGCATGCTGGTTCATTCCGCTAAACGCCTTCGCCGTTTCGTTTAATTCTTTAACTTTTTTCCCCAGCTCGTCTCCGAACAATTGCGTTGAAATTGACATGTCCTTAGCACAAATGGCTTGATAAGCCACCGGCAGTGCCGGTCTCATGAAATACCTTCTCTTCACCGAGATGGTCTGAAAAGCATTACCAACCAAAGCCAAAGCGTCCACACAAAGTGTGCGAAGCGTATCTCTAAATTGGGGCAAGCCCATTAACGCCTCTGTAAGTTTCAATACCGGTACTAAGCCCGAGCCTAGATATTTCTGTATCTCCTGCAGTTGCACGTCTTTCTGCTGTATTGGCTTTGGTAATTTCCCCCATATTTCAGGCTTACAACGTGGTACAGTAACACCCAGACAGTTCTGCGGTACAAATATTTCTCTATAATCTTACCTACCTCCGCATTTTTAGTGTACGACGTGTTAACTAATCGGGCAAACCCTTCGTGAGCCCCCGGTCCATATTTCTGTTCCCCAAAAATTTCGGGCATATCGATTCCTTCAGCCACTGTGGCCGGGAAAATATCCGAATATATGTCGTCCATGTCCCCATTGGACGCAGCCCCGCTGATGGGTACAATACCCTGGACACATTCATCTCAAACGGGGTCCTCATCTCAGTATATCAAACTCGAACCCATCGGGTCCATGTCTAAAATTGGTATCGTAACACGTGGTACCACCGGTACGTCCTGTACCAAATGATCCCCGGAACCTCGTTCACGGGAAAGGCAGGCAATACGAGCCTCTACCGCCATTAACCTGGAAGCCATTTCGTCAGTTCGTACCTTTTTTGCTCCTCCGGCTTGCGTTGGGGCTCCTAAAGCCGCCGAAGCCACTCGTTTCATGCCGGCGCCCCCATTACCTACATAAGCGTAAGGGGCCTCGCCGCTTAGCACATCACCAAGTACATGTGCTTCCGGCTCCGGGACATCGTCCGCGGAAGGCTGTCTATTATGATTCGAGACGAAAAAATCGTCACAGCCGTCTGCTTCATCCTCTGCGGGATGAAGCGAGATATTGTCATCGACCGACTCTTCGTCGTTACCAAAGTAACCGACATGTTCTTACCTTTCACCGTGGATATGTTGCGCCCCGGTTCACACGAACCATCACGGCCTCGTGTACTGTAATACAGTCTACTGTAGAACTGTAATAATACCGTATTCTATTTACGTCTGAATGACAGACAGAACAACCTGTCTTATTCTGTGCGCGCACCTGAATGACATAAAAGTAAGCTGGCACGAGTTGTCATGTCTTTTATAGGTGACCTCTGGGTGCAGGTGTCATGCACGCTTAGGGTGTTTTTAACCCTTTGAAGGTCAGTCGCGCACCTAATAGGTGGCAAGTATGCAAATTAACCGGACAAGCCGTAGGGCTGGAAATGTAGGAGAATTACAAATAGTAGCTACTGAATCAGGATCTTTTAGAATTTTTTTCCCTAACACTTCCCTCACCTGTAATTTGTTTTATGTATGACTGTTATAGGTTTTGGACTTTTGGAGGCAGGATTTGTTTGCGGGCAAAATCATGTCAACTATATGTGCAATCCTCCTGGTGAGACTTCCAAATTAATCGGATACACTATTTTATATTGGTTAATTTTGTTCTCCTTTCCTATTCTGAATGTTGGATTTGACACTACTGTTTGAACAGGCATCGCTTATTGAAACCAATGAAATATATTAAATGCGTATGCATAAAAAGTAAAACACACACACTTAAAGTCCCATTTTTCTCACAAATACATATCACAAGCTTATTCACATTCATGTATACAACTTTTGTTATGATAAGAACACAGTATGATCAAATCCGTATTAGAAAACCCAAGAAATCACATCGAATACAAAAATTTCACTGCCTATTACCTTCGAAAAGATTCAATTTCACTGCCAAATGTACATTCAACTTGTTAGAGTTTGACTTGATGTGGTTTTCTAGAATACATTACACCGTGAAAACGATGCCACAGCAACCAAATACACGGATACAGCCGCAGAAAATGTAATTGGTAACAGTTTTTTACCATGTACCCATAATTACATGTTATGTTGCTGTAAAGTTTCTGTAACCTTCGAAAAGATTCAATCCATCTTACTACCAAAATTAGATATCATAGTTTTTTAAACTTATAGTCTTATATGACCTTTCCTTAAAATCAAATTTCCTCTATGTTCGATTCGTGTATGCCTCTCGTTACAATTCCCATCACTTCGAACAAGTTCGGACGATTCGAATCTTTCATATACTCACACCGAACATATCTGGTGGACACGCATGATTATTTTGTTATTAACCATCATGCGAGAACAGTTCTCTGAATGTCTTGTTTAAGGTCGGTAAATGTTAAATCCAACATTATTGGATTGTCTTTGCTTAAAATATCATTTTTGTCAAGCACGATTTTGTAAGTGCACTAGCTTTCTGTGTTCACCTTTTCTAACTAACAGTTACAGAGTGGGTAAAAAGAACGAATTTATTGTATTGTCCGTGTAAGGCAAACTATTCCCCGAGGGCGTATGCTTCAAATTTGTGATTTTTAGTGAATTATAAATGACTACTCCATTACCTGAACTGTTTTATCATAACGACGCAAACTATTTGATTGTGTTGACCTTTTCCATTGTTGTTTGTAATCAACTGTTGTTTGCCTTGGGAAATATACCTGATCGAGGGTGTACTAAAAGCCTGCTATGATACCGAATAATAAAACTAAAATATATACCGAAATCTCTCTGTCATGTTTTGTTTCACCGATACAAATTACAGACTTTTTTTTAAATCCCTTACCAGAAATTGAGAAAACCTGTCAAAAGCTATATATTAAATTATCCACTCTGTCTGCAGTGATATCTTAAAAGACCGATAACAAAGACGTTGGGGGTACGGAGTTAAGTTGGAATACTAGCGTGGCGCTCTGACATGCTATGGACGGGGCGATTGGAACGTGATTGTTATGATCATCATAACAAGGAAATTGTCCTGAAACGATAGCCTGGTAAAATGAGCTATTTTAGCTGGATATATCATCTATCGATTTCGGATATATTGTATTAATTGTATGTAAGAGTATTAACAAATGTATCGTAAAATCTATATACTATTTGTTACTTTTATATATCGATATCACAATGATGAACCTTTTATATTTAAGGTTTTGGACTACTGGAAGTTGGGTGTGTTTCGGGAAGGAACGAAGTGAACATCATGATGAAGAACGCTGTAGATGTTATATTTGGAGGCCTCTCCTACTGGGCCGTAGGATTCGGTCTCAGTTTTGGGATGGATTATGGTTCGAACCCTTTCTGCGGTGTCGGTTCATTCTTCGTTGACTCGTCTGACGAACGCATGGGTCTTCTATTTGCCACGTTTGTTTTCCAGTTGTCATTCGCTACCACAGCAACAACCATAGTCTCTGGAGCTATGGCAGAGCGAACCAAAATGACGGCTTATATCCTGTTTTCGATAACGAACACAGTGGTATACTGTATACCTGCGCATTGGGAATGGGCGACAAATGGGTTCCTGAGAACCATGGGATGTGTCGACATTGCAGGTTCCGGTGCTGTGCATCTCACTGGTGGTATGTCTGCTATGGTGGCCGCCATCATTCTTAAACCCCGTTTGGGAAGATACGACAAAGGAACAGGTCAGAAAACGCCACCGAATCCAGTCAGTGCCCTCGTTGGCATGTTTATGCTTTGGTAAGAGACCTTTGTTTTGCCTCGTCGTCTTTGCACATGTTTTATATATTTCGAGAGTAGCTTTTGTATATTTCCGTGATATTATTCATCGAACACTGTTGTTACTCTAAACAGAATCTATTTCATTATAATATATATAAGACATATGTTACAATAATGAAGGGAGGGAGGGGCTTATTACAACACTTAGCAGAAGTGTTTGTTTCGTGAGGTTAAAGAGACCAAGAATACGGTCAGGACAGCTTATCCGTAAAACACAACAGACTGCACTTACAGATTCCAGGATAGCAAGCACCGTATGTGACACCCATATTTATCTGCTGCCAAATCGCCAGAGCGCGTGTTCATCACCAACGTAGAGCTAATACGCAATGATGATATGAGAGTAGTTCTATGGTAGGTCTAAGTAGGGTAGAGATACACCATTAATTAGAAAGGAAGAAAAGGAAGAATAATGACCATGATGTTTTTTAAGTGAAAGTTCAATGAAATTTTTAAAAACCTTTCTTTTTTGTAGACATTTGATTCCATTGTTATCGACAAAACCTCCTCTACCTTAGTGATATTGATGTATTTAATTTTTAGTTGTGTCATATATTAAATAATTTAAGATATAATTACTGTTAATGAACAAAATGGTACAGGTGTCACACGATAATCGACTAACAACCCTTGAAACTATTAAAGGGTTTTGAAGTTAAATATATTTTTACATAATTAGTGTATGCTCCATCTTTATTTTTTCAAAGATAGCCATTTAACTGTGTGATATTACAATCTAACATTTGTTAATTAATCTTGGGTGTTGTACGTTATACAAGAGGCGCTGCTATATAATATAACAGAGGTAAACATCAATAGATCAATCGCCATTTGTGTCTGTTCTTCATAAAACAATATCAAATAATGCATTTGAAGTCTGATGCTGCATTTTTGTATTTAAATGCCTTGATAAATTGCGTGACATTCGTTATTTGATATACTTAAACGCAAGCATACTTTGATGGTTCTTTATTCCATTTTGTGTGCTCAACACTAACAAGTGTATGAACTTTATCACTGCACGCAACGGAATCGCCTCGTCTTTTAGCAATCATCCCCTTACTTAGCCTATCAGAGATCAATCACTCTAAGCCCTAACAAGGTAATAACAGCATTGGGCACGTGACGGGAAACATTAGAAAACTACGTCAAAACTGTGAAAAAAACCGGGATAGTCACTTAAAATATGTACGATGCCTGACACCGGTAGAACCAACGTGTGTATATACAGACATGACGGCATTGACCGCGTTATCTGTTTTGCAGCTAATTTATATTTGATGTTGCATTTCATTTGTGTTTCCAGAGATGAAATGTTCTTTTACTCGTTCTTAGCTTTTCTCACTTAAGCGTTAACCATTATCCAGACGTTTTAAGTCTGTTTTCTGTACACACAAAACAAATCTTATAAATAGGTGTTCAGTTGTTTATTTTGTCTCTGTACATAAAAACAACTTATAGATAGATGTTTAGTTGTGTTTTCTGTATACAATGACAACGTATCTGAAGGTGTCCAGTGGTGTATTTAAAAGTAAGGCAGTAACCATCCCAAATCTACTAGACTCTCTATTGTTAATTAAACAGGCAGAGACACTGTAATGCTTGTTAGATGTGTATGTTTAACACGCTCTGATTCAGGTGGGGTTGGCTGGCCTTTAATTGCGGTAGTACTTTTGGGATATCCGGTGGAAAATGGAAACTTGCAGCAAAGTAAGTTAAATTAATAAAGTATGAACATATAAAATATTTACATAGACACTCTTTAAAAAGCACAATGAGAATAAAATTAGGTCTTCCCGAAATGTACGCGTCGTGTGCTTGTTCGACGAAGGGAATCAAATGTAAAGTCACATTTTTAAATAGTGAATAGAAAGTGTGACAGCGAAGACGGTTATATTGTCAACAAATAAAGGAGATACTACAATTGAGTTCAAGGAAAAGATCACTTGTCAATGTGATCAATGATTTATTTCTTTATTTACATCTGTAGTTTAACTCATTAGAGCAAACGTCCTGTAAAGTGACTAGCGGTAATTTTGAAAATGAAATGGGACACTATTTAATTTATGTATAATAAACATCGCGTCTTGCATTTCTCAAAAACACTAGGAATGCAACGGTACAATGCATTTTATTCCTCGGTGACTCCGAACTATAACGTCTAAATGTAACGGTGCCTCTCACTTAACATACGGTATGTTTTTTGTTTCAATACGAGGACAATCTTTAATGTCCATGTTATTTCAGTATACTAGGAAATGTTCGCCTTTCGCCGCTAAAATCAGTATACGCCCAGTTGTAAATTCGCTGTAACGATTATGGCAGCATTTCTGAGCGCGAAAAAGGCTAAAACTAAACTGCAGTGAAAAATGTCCCGGTATCCAGTTTCTGTTTTACATGAACAATCTTTGAAGGTTAAAATTAACAGTGTGCACACCATAATCTTTTTTTATTATTATCTTTTTTGTTTTGTACGTTAATGGTTGAATAGATGTAAGGGGCTTCATACGTATTCTAAATGAACATAGAATGGCTGTGCAGATTTATTACATCCTTACCACAATGGGAATGGGTAGCCAAAGTATAGTTTAATCCCTATATTGTTTTTTATTACAGATCAGCCGTCACAACACTTATTGGATCTATGGGAGGAGGTGCCACCGGCGTCATTATATCGTAAGCCTGACAACCCTCGATCAGGATTATAATCAACCATCATTCAATATACCTCACATTTGTGTTCTTTCACAAATGATCGGGAATCTTTGTCATAAATAGTGAGAAGTATTTAAAATAAGGAATAATGGTCAAGTAATAACAATCACGGGTTAATAGGCAACTTACATAAGATTGACAAAGATGTTAATTTCATAACTGACAATTCTTGACCTCATCTTGTACTCATTTCGGTATATCAACATTAATCATTTAAATCTTAAATAGTACGATCGAATGTGATAGCAAAACACAAAGCTTGTGCAGTAATAAATAATTAACACTTAATAGTGTTCATGTCGCCTTTGTTTTCGCTGTGATCAGGTACATCATCAGCCGGAAGTACGCCGTCGACTACCTGGTGAACTGTGTACTCTGTGCTCTAGTGTCCATCACAGGTAAGTAGCCGTGATTGGTAGGATAGCACAGTACAATGGCTATAGCATGTAACCCAGATACACAGGATAGTCTCTTAGTGCAAAAAGATTTGAAAAACGTTACTTATATAAACCAGCGTGGCGCGGTAAGGTACACGACTGATATCATATATCAAACAACAATTGTCAAACTGGTGGTACTTAACAGCTGTCCGTACAGGATCAGCGCTGTTAAAACGGTTCAATTGTTTGATAATATCGTATTGATTTAGATACACTTTTAATGACATAAGGTGTGTCCTCTTAACATTGAGACAATTACGGCATAGCAGCGTATCGTGCTTGAGCTTAATGACTTTGTTGAGGATTGAACGTCAGAAAGCTAACATTTTCCTTCTTAAAAGAAATTTCATGGATAATTGTCAAAGGTGTTGGTAGTCATTTTTTTAAAGTCTGGTATACCAGAAAGTTATAGATATGAATTAATGTGTGACCCCTGAAAAAAGATGGTAGGACAAGACGAGGTGAACCGCAATGTGAAGCGCCTAGTGTTTCATCAATGACACTGATTCAGATTACTTTCAATTGAATGCCATGGCCCTTAAGTTGTCGTTATAGCAGCTGTAACGTTGGATACTGCTTAACCTCCTTTCAAGTTGGCTGTTATATCAATTAAACCATCATACACGATACATACACTCATTTAAAATCATTATTAATTTTGATAAATATAAAAAAAAAATTGGGATGACAATAGTTCTTTCAATGAAAAAAAACACATAAATATCGAACAGCTTTCGAATGCATTCATAGTCAATATAAATTCCAAGTGGAAGGTGACAATTCAACATTAAGCGCTTAAATGACAGAGCGCCAATAGCATTGCGCAACGCCGTTGGCATATTTCGACGTGTTCCTAATTTTCGGTCCAGCAATCCTACAGGTGTTCGATACAACTATGAAACGAATATAGCAGGGCAAGTCTTCAGTGTTACTATACTACTAAGGAAAGGGAAATAGAGTTCCTTTGTTACGGAACTAAGGAGAGAGGTAACATGTATGATAAATATGTTGTAGCCGGCTGTGCCGTGATCAGACCGTGGGAAGCCCTCCTCATTGGAGCTATAGGAGGAGTCATTTGTATCGGTTCGACCAAACTCATGGACAAAATGAGGATCGATGATCCTGTGGGAGCGACTGCCGTACACGGGGCAGGTGGAATATGGGTAATAAAACACCCCCAGAAACATACTCTTAGTAAAATAAGACCAATGGTCAGGGATAGTATAATATTAATTATGCCAGTAGGAGGACATACAAAATGTACAAGAGGTGTATTTGAAAATATAAAGTGCATCACAAATTGTTTTAAAATTTAAATCAGATTAATCTGTGAGGAATACGGCCATTTTAAAGTTTTTTTGCACATTCTGGGCCAAGGAAGACATGTTGTATTTCTAATTTCTCTGGTTATCTAGCATGTACTGGAAAAATCTAGATAGCATTTTCTGTGTAATTCGGAAACTAAATGTTCTTATACAATTTGTTGGGATCATAATCCTACCTGTTTGTACTTCAATGAACAGAGTAGTAACATGTATCAGTGCATATACTAATATTGAAACTACATATGTGGAACTTCAGACAAGTAGTAAAAGCAGTTACATTTCAGCATCAGCTAATACCTACATTGGTGTTTTGTTATCAATTACATATCAGTTGTCATTTGCTAGCAGTCAACATTATAGTAGCCATGCTTTTCTGTTGTCTGTGTGCTGCACTTGCGTGGTTCAGCTATCCAGGTAGCATATATGGATTCGTGCCGTCTGGGATTAGGATGTCCATTCTCTCCTCAGTCTCTGATGACTTATCATATCGAAATCCTTCTTTGTGTATTGAAGATTTAGTATTAATATATTATCATTTAGGGATCAACATCATACTGTAACATAAATAAATACTGTTAACTTGCCAAATATTCATATTTACCGGTAGTGTCCTCTCCTGAAACGACGTGACATTCACTTTGTTTTAAAGGAAAATAAAACATGATTACAAAAGATCATTAGAAAAATACCCGGATGTACCATAAATTGTATAAATCATTGTAATGTTAAGGGCATGCTAGCAGTCGGCTTGTTTGCCGAGAATGAACCGTTGGAGAATACAACCCAAGGACGGGCTGGAGTGTTTCACGGGGGAGGTTTCTACTTGATGGGAATACAAATGCTCTCGATTGTTTGTCTAGTAGCGTGGAGTGCAGTGACCTCATTTCTACTACTTATGGTAAGACATAGTTCACGTATTTCTGTTAAACACCTGGAACCTTTGTATTTATTATGTTTTACAGTCGGGATTCCTTTCAATATACTAACGTTACTTTATGGGAATTTGTTAAAGCTGAACTAATGAAAGCCCAATTATGTAATATCGTGATTGTACACCTTGAATTACTTATTTACACATTTCATCATTGCTATCAGTCAACACTGTCATTACAGGTTATCAAGTACACAGTGGGCCTTCGTCTGAGTGAGGAGGAGGAGCGTCTTGGTGCGGACATCGTCGAACACAACATTGGTGCGGATATGTATGGAGGTCAGTTCCTTGGTAGACCGGACAGTGTCTGTGCACTGGGTCGACGAGACACGCTTCTGCCATGTAACCAGGTCCCTAATGGCGAAACAACAGCCGGCGACACCAACGACTCCACGAGACGCCGGGACTCTGTTGCTTCCAGAAAGTTAAAGACCGTGTCTCCCGGGCCGGTTCAACAGCAACGCAGACCGCTTCGACGGCAGGACAAAGTAGTGCCTGATAGTATACCAGGCCAGTGTATTCTGTACCAGTAAGCGTCAGCCAGTCTTTGCACAAGTACCAGGCCATGTTTAGCGTTTAGAGATTTCTAAGTCATCGAATTTCATATCATTAATAAAACAACGTTCCAGTATCGTATGGATTAATGACTGTCAGTTGTGAACTTAGTCAACAGTTTTCCTAACGTTGTTTTGTGAATGATAGCTCACTGATACAAATAGAATGGTCATTTCTTAATAAAATTGTCTCATTTTATGAAGAATTGATCGTTTTCAGAGAACATGACAACGTTTTACACAACCAGTCACGAATCTCACGTGTCTAATGTAACATTACGTTTGTACATTCTCATAGATGACGTTTTCCGAAGTTGGTCCCGCGTCTCTTTGTTTTTGCCAATAGAACTGTCTATCAAGAACGATGAATGTTATTCAGGGCCACACAGTAGTCTGAGAGGTCAATCAACGCAATGATGTCATCAGGGCGACACGGTAGTTTGAGAGGTCCATCAACGCAATGATGTCATCAGGGCGACACGGTAGTCTGAGAGGTCCATCAACGCAATGATGTCATCAGGGCGACACGGTAATCTGAGAGGTCCATCAACGCAATGATGTCATCAGGGCGACATGGTAGTCTGAGAGGTCAATCAACGCAATGATGTCATCAGGGCCACACGGTAGTTTGAGAGGTCCATCAATGCAATGATGTCATCAGGGCCACACAGTAGTCTGAGAGGTCCATCAACGCAATGATGTCATCAGGGCGACACGGTAGTTTCAACAGCAAATGAACACACTATAATATCATACAGACCAACATGGTAATCTGAACGGCCCATCAACATAAGAATGTCATGCAAGATCACAAAATAAACAATGGGCGTGGCAATAGACTCTAGAAGTAGCAAATATTATAGGAAATGGACAGATAAAGATTCTTATTGTCGCAAAGGTCGCGGCAAACCAGTTAATGGCTTTTTCCCAAGGGACACGGAGATAACCACCAGAGACTAATTAGGACTGACATAAGTCGACTCGTTAGATACAGCGACGGTATACAGGAAGACAAATAGTTTATCTTTATCACAATAAGAGTGTTGTCGGTATCAACTGTTCTCTCCCAGCTCTAGAGCATCTATATTTTGCTTTAAAATGTTGTAATTTTCTAGTGACAGTGTTTTTAACCGTGTCGAAACAATATATACCTTGAAACAGGTCATTCATTGAATCGTACTACAAATTCACATAACAAGTCGTTCCTTGAATCTGTTTAAAACCCATGTACATTATAACAAGTCATACCTTGATTCATATTAAGAAGATATTCTCCGTCGGCGTAACAACAACATTCATTACTACAATTTTCGTCCTATCTTATGTCGTACTAGTATATACAGGAATACTTTCCTGCCTTCTGTTATTGATCTGGAACGCCTTTCTTTACAGATTATTTCAGGTTAAACACAGATATATTAAATTTGAAAGTGCGCAAGATGTATAAAGAAGAATCACAATAATGCAACAGGAGTTTCATCTTAATAATAAATAATAAACAGATTTGCTTATTTAATTTGTTGTTTGCAAAACATCCATTGTGAATCAAATAAAAACAGAATAAACAAAGCCTCAAATGTTATTTATCATCAAAGTCACGGTTTTTATTATACGTTATTTATTAATCAGTGTTGTCGTTTTAGGAAACGTTTAAATGATTTGATTTTGAGCAGCAGCAAGCCTATCTCACGAATACATTATGATAATATTCTGTCAATTGTGTCAGTAATCCAGGAATCTCAAATAGACATCAAATGTAATATTTCTCATATAAATGTCAGTAATAATACACATACTATCTTGCGTCTGTAGGCGTAGACGTAAGACTGTAAAAATGTACTTGTCGACATAAGTGTAATGTACTTACACAATAGCGATATAAAGCCGTATAGACATAATGAGTACATTGTGTAAAATTGTATTCAACCATTACACATTACTCTGGCATGAATACTAATAAAACACGTGATAAAGTCACTAGAGTATCCAAGGAAACCAGGCAATCACCACCACCGCTAAGACAACCAAACCATCACGAGCAACCCTAGAAAACCAAGCCATTACAAACATTGTAGAGAGAACCAAGCCACCACGAGCAATCCTAAAAGAACCAAGCCATCGCGAGCATCCCCAAGATACCAAACCTTCACTAGCATCTCCAAAGGAGCCAAGCCGTCACGAGCATCCCCAAGGCAACCAAGCCATCACGCGCATCCCAATAGAAACCAAGCCATCATGAGCATTCCCAAGGCAAACGGCCTTCGCGAACATCTCCGAAGGAGCGAAGCCGACACGTGCATCCCCAAGGGAATCAAGCCTTCACGAGCATCCCCAATGCAACCAAGCCATCACAAGCGTTCCCTTGAGAGAAAAGGCATAACAAGCATCCCAAAGGGAACCAAGCCATCACAAGCACTCCCAAGGCAACCAAGCCTTCACGAGCATTCCCAAGAGAACCAAGTCATCACGTGCATCCCCAAGGGAACCATGCCTTCACGAGCATCTCCAAGGGAACCAAGCCATCACGAGCATCCCCAAGGCAACCAAGCCTTCACGAGCATCCCCAAGAGAACCAAGCCATCACGTGCATCCCAAAGGTAACCATTCCTTCACGAGCATCCCAAAGGGACCCAAACAACAACGAGCTGGAGACCTTAACCAACATGAGTATTCTCTTGAGGACCAAAAAGCTATCACAAGAACTCCTAAGAGCACAAAAACCAACATAGGTAACATAGAGAACACTGTTCCACGTCACAAGCTGATCTGGACATTCCTCTTTTAATTTAAATTGCTGTTTTGACATCCATGATTGCTCTACCGAGATAAAGGGAGTAACAAATTATTTTAAGGGATGGGATAAGATATTAAATGCAAAGAAAACTAAACAAGTATGCTTCTTTTCTTCTAGATCAAGACAAATATTAGGGTTGAGTAACAGCGTATTATGTTCGTAAACACCAGAAGCCTTTATATAAGCATTAGTAAAATCTCTGTGTGACGATGCTTTGATATCATTTCTTGCCTTTTATACGAGTACATTTCACGATGTTTTTGTTTTGTATGATGCAATATACTTTCGTTCCTTTTTCCGGCCATACCGGTTGTTTCATTAAATAAAGCTGATATTGAAATAAATCTAAAAAAGATGTGAGAGAAAATGTATTGCAGTTCTATTTTCAAAAATATATTGATGATGATTTTTGCCGTATACCTCGCGTTGCGTTTTAACTATAGTGCACCTCTTTTAATACATACCTTAAAAATATACATCGAACTATTTTAGCAGGTTTTTGAAATTTTGTTTAATTGGAAGAGAAAGGTCAAAAAGGCGACCCAAATCATCTATTTTGTTAAGATTGTACATACATATATAACATACACCAAGATTGTATTGTTATATCCTGAGAAGCCACATCCTCGTTAAGGCTGTATACGTGACCTCTAACAACGCGACACATTCGACCTTGTAAACGGACACGGCAACCCTTGTCAAACCGGATGTTATACCGGAGGCTGGAAAGGAGATTCAGATTTTAAACTTAAGGGTCAGCAGTTATAATCGTGACATATATGGACTACTTTCCAGTTTGGATAACACATCACACATCGTTGTCTACTACGTATACTTAAAGACACTGAAATAGAGTTAAGCATACAGTTTATTGTTAGGGTTCACAAATTTAAATAACCTTTCCCGAGTTTCTAGTTTCCATGTTCTTGATATTTACTCTAAATATTGAAGTAATATACATGAAAGCCAATACATTATAATAGTAAGTTGTAATTCTGTTGATTAATACAATCAAAAATGAAAAAAATAACATCTTTGACGGTCAAGAAGTTAATTCCATTCAAAGAACCTGGACTGAAATAGTATTTCAATCGGAGAACAGCAGTTTGTTCGCAGTGTATTAAACTAAAACTCCATTCATAGAACCAGGTAGAATACGGCAAATGATATGTCATATACCTGCTCCCAAGTGAAGATAACTCTGCAATACGCAAAGACGGAATTCAGAAGGAAGGACTGGAGCACGACTAACTGTGACGTTGATATAAGAAATAGCAACAATTGTTAAGCAATGTAAATAAATGTTCATCCCTTCCAACATAAAGGACATTATCGGCACTATAGTGATCGTTTCGAGTAGTACCTGAGGAGAAACGGCTTCTGTCACCTACACAGCATCCCGAACTTGAGTTTGTTATACAGATTTTCCTTACGGAGATTGGCTACGCTGATTCTGGAATAGCTGTACCACAGCGTCATCTTCCTCATCTTAATATTCTAGCGTGTATCTACAGTAAGACAATAACGGTCACGTCACTAACAAGGTATCTGATTAACTTGCAGACTTAAATTTCATGACGATTAACTTTTTTTTCGCGTTAGTCACATCAATTCCTGCCATGCTGGTCATAGTTGACACGCACTTTCAGAGCATGTTCTAAGAATCATGAACGTAAAACACGTACGGGTGATTATATCATTAAAGGATAAGTGTCTATAAGGCCCTATTTTGGGCCCCGGTATTTTCGGAATCTCACCTCTTTAATTTGTTTAAAGATGTCCTATTGCATTGCATGCGAAAAAACTAAGGAAAAAGTTTGTTCGAAAGTGAGTTTTTTGGGGTACCAAAAGGGGAAGATAAATCACAAAAATAATTTCGTACTTGACTTCCTGTCCTTGTATCAGTTGTGTGGGGACAAACCTATTTGACTTCCTGTCTTTGTATCAATTGTGTGGGGACAAACCTACTTGCCTTCCTGTCTTTGTACCAGTTGTGTGGGGACAATCCTATTTGACTTCCTGTATTTGTATCTGTTGTGTGGGGACAAACTTACTTGACTTCCTGTCCTTGTATCGGTTGTGTGGGGACAAACCCTATATGACTTCCTGTCTTTGTATCAGTTGTGTAGGGACAAACCTATTTAACTTCCTGTTTTTGTATCAGTTGTGTGGGGACAAACCTATATGACTTCCTGTCTTTGTATCAGTTGTGTAGAGATAAACCTACCTGACTTCCTATCTGTGTACCAGTTGTGTGGGGACAAACCTATTTGACTTCCTGTATTTGTATCAGTTGTGTGGGGACTAACCTATATGACTTCCTGTCTTTGTACCAGTTGTGTGGGGACAAACCTATATTACTTCCTGTCTTTGTATCAGTTGTGTATGGACAAACCTACTTAACTTCCTGTATTTGTATCAGTTGAGTGGGGACAAACCTACTTAACTTCCTGTCTTTGTATCAGTTGTGTAGAGATAAACCTACTTGACTTCCTATCTGTGTACCAGTTGTGTGGGGACAAATCAGTTGTGTATGGACAAACCTACTTAACTTCCTGGGGACAAACCTATTTGACTTCCTGTATTTGTGTGTGGTTACAAACCGACTTAACTTCCTGTATTTGTATCAGTTGAGTGGGGACAAACCTACTTAACTTCCTGTCTTTGTATAAGTTGTGTAGAGATAAACCTACTTGACTTCCTATCTGTGTACAAGTTGTGTGGGGACAAACCTATATGACTTCCTGTCTTTGTAGCAGTTGTGTGGGGACAAACCTACTTAACTTCTTGACTTTGTATCAGTTGTGTGGTTACAAACCGACTTAACTTCCTGTATTTGTATCTGTTGTGTGGGGACAAACCTACTTAACTTACTGACTTTGTATCAGTTGTGTGGGGACAAACTTACTTAACTTCCTGACTTTGTATCAGTTGTGTGGGGACAAACCTACTGAACTTCTTGACTTTGTATCAGTTGTGTGGGGACAAACCTATTTGATTTCCTGTATTTGTATCAGTTGTGTGGGGACAAACCCACTTAACTTCCTGTATTTGTATCAGGTGTGTGGGGACAAACTTACTTAACTTCCTGACTTTGTATCAGTTGTGTTGGGAGAAACCTACTTAACTTCCTGACTTTGTATCAGTTGTGTGGGGACAAACTTACTTGACTTCCTGTCTTTGTATCAGTTGAGTGGGGACAAACCTACTTGACTTCCTGTCCTTGTATCAGTTGTGTGGGGACAAACCTACTGAACTTCTTGACTTTGTATCAGTTGTGTGGTTACAAACCGAATTAACTTCCTGTATTTGTATCTGTTGTGTGGGGACAAACCTACGTAACTTACTGTCTTTGTATCAGTTGTGTGGGGACAAACCTATTTGTCTTCCTGTATTTGTATCAGTTGTGTGGGGACAAACCCACTTAACTTCCTGACTTTGTATCAGTTGTGGGGGGACAAACCTACTTAACTTCCTGTCTTCGTACCAGTTGTGTGGGGACAAACCTACTTAACTTCCTGTCTTCGTACCAGTTGTGTGGGGACAAACCTACTTAACTTTCTGTATTTGTATCAGTTGTGGGGGGACAAACCTACTTAACTTCCTGTCTTCGTACCAGTTGTGTGGGGACAAACCTACTTAACTTCCTGTCCTTGTATCAGTTGTGTGGGGACAAACTTACTTGACTTCCTGTCTTTGTATCAGTTGAGTGGGGACAAACCTACTTAACTTTCTGTATTTGTATCAGTTGTGTGGGGACAAACCTATTTGTCTTCCTGTATTTGTATCAGTTGTGTGGGGACAAACCCACTTAACTTCCTGTATTTGTATCAGGTGTGTGGGGACAAACTTACTTAACTTCCTGACTTTGTATCAGTTGTGTGGGCACAAACCTACTTAACTTCCTGTATTTGTATCAGTTGAGTGGGGACAAACCTACTTGACTTCCTGTCTTTGTATCAGTTGTGTAGGGACAAACCTTCTTAACTTCCTGTATTTGTATCAGTTGAGTGGGGACAAACCTACTTAACTTCCTGTATTTGTATCTGTTGTGCGGGGACAAACCTACTTAACTTACTGACTTTGTATCAGTTGTGTGGGGACAAAACTACTTCACTTCCTAACTTTCTGTATTTGTATCAGTTGTGTGGGGACAAACCCACTTAACTTCCTGACTTTGTATCAGTTGCGGGGGGACAAACTTACTTAACTTCCTGTCTTTGTATCAGTCCTTGTATCAGTTGTGTGGGGACAAACCTATTTGTCTTCCTGTATTTGTATCAGTTGTGTGGGGACATTCCTATTTGACTTCCTGACTTTGTATCAGTTGTGTGGGGACAAACCTACTTAACTTTCTGTATTTGTATCAGTTGTGTGGGGACAAACCTATTTGACTTCCTGTATTTGTACCAGTTGTGTTGGGACAAACCTATTTGACTTCCTGTATTTGTATCAGTTGTGTGGGGACAAACCTATTTGACTTCCTGTCTTTGTACCAGTTGTGTGGGGACAAACCTATTTGACTTCCTGTATTTGTACCAGTTATGTGGGGACAAACCTACTTGACTTCCTGTCTTTGTACCAGTTGTGTGGGGACAAACCTATTTGACTTCCTGACTTTGTATGTGGGGACAAACCTACTTGTTGACTTCCTGTATTTGTATCAGTTGTGTGGGGACAAACCTACTTAACTCCCTGTACTTGTATCAGTTGTGTGGGGACAAACCTATTTGTCTTCCTGTATTTGTATCAGTTGTGTGGGGACAAACTTACTTAACTTCCTGTCTTTGTATCAATTGTGTGGGGA